ATCACTTTGACATTCAGAGCACTGGGGAATAGGATAGCAAGTTTAGGTTATGCACTGGACCTAGGAGAGCGCTGCTCTAATTGCTCTTGTATAACCCCGTGGCTTTGCATTATTGTGCTTATGCATCATCATCGAGCTTGTTCAGGTGTGGCAGATTCTGACCAGAAGCCAGTTTAAAAATACTGCAAACAAACACTCAAACAAACTCTCTGAGAGCCATATACAGATACGTGCATGCGTAGATCTCTACATAACTTAATTAGCACATATGTATGCAGACGGTACAAGGAAAACCATGCTCGGTTTCCAACACATGCGTGAACTTGACACATTGCCGTTGTCGCAGCTAGCATCCAGAGACCCATACTCCCCGGTGCAGAAATGGTAAGTCCTGTGGCTGAGACTCATCACTGTACAAAGGTCCTGGCCACGGTCTACTGCAAGTCAACTAATGCTAGATTTTTCAAGCTCCCAGGTGCAGGGAGGGCTGTTTGGCAGAGTTGCGTGGGACCACGACGGGTGCAAGCTTGGTGATGCCGTCGATGCGCTCTGCTTCCTGGACAAGACTCTCCATCACCGGCTTGAAGGAATCAGTCACCTGGGAGTTTCAGAGAAGCAGGGACTCCCAAAGAGACGGATCCTTCTCCTACGGATCCCGAAACTAAGCTGACTATGTCACTAAGTACCCCTACAAGTCTCAAGCTCCCACCTCTACAAGGGGGCAGCAGAGTTTGGCAGCCAGGGTCTGGGCCGCCCGGGTTGGAGCAGCTTGGCGGCTGCAGCGCTCTGCGCCACAGCGGCACTTTCCCGGGAGGGAGGCGAGGACCAGTGGGATGTGTTCAAAGTTCCCGAAACGCCGTTGAATGGAATGATCGTACTCTCTGCAGCCGTAGCCAATGGATCTCCGCCGCTCCTCGATGCGAAAGCTTTCCTGGGCCCGGGCCTCCTGCAGCTGTGCGACTCGGTTGCATACGAAGCCGAAGGAGCAGGAGCAGGCACGGGAGTAGTAGAAGATGTAGCTATCATACTGTGCAAGCATGTCGCCCCACATCTCTCGCTGTCTCCTGTTTCCCCTTCCAAGCTCCATGTGTAAGCCCCAGCCTGGGCTGCCAACATGTTGCCTGTCGTAGAGGCCTTGCCAATCAAACAGGGTCATCCTTGCCAGGAACATCTCTTCCGGAGACTCCAAGGCCCAGACGGTCTCGCAGCAAAGCCTCGTGGGCCACCTCGTCTCGGCCTCCCAGCCAGGCCTTGTTATGTTTGATCATGAGTCTACACTCAGTGAAAATTCCCCCGAGCTTGGGGCTTGCGGAAACCTTTATATCTATATATATATATATATGTATGTATATAGATAGATAGATAGATAGACAGACAGACAGACAGACAGATAGATAGAGCGTACCACGCAAATTATTCTCAAGGCGCCTGATCATGTCTGCCACGACTTTGGGCAGGCGGTTGGAAGTGGTTGCGGGGTTGTACCACAGCGTGTCCGAGGCTGACCAACCATGGGTCGATCCCACAAAGAGCACCTGGAGATCGCGATGGCCATCTCCAGGAATCCCCGGGGTGGGGACGCCACGGGGCTTCAGAAGGAAGGAACCTTCCAGGTCTTCCGGGAAGTAGTCCGCAATGAAATAGTCCGCGCCGGCGAAAGCCTGAACCTTCTGCCAAAGATGCTGGGGCAACTCCGGGAGCTGCCTTTGCCTCGCGGCCCAGACAGCCACGAGGACAGGGGGACAGTCCATGGCGTCTTCCCTGGCGCTGCAATGCACTTATAATATATAATATATAATATATAATATATAATATTTTTTTATATAATATATAATAAAGTACTGCCCATGGACAGGCAAGCATCGCTGACGGTCTCAGAGCCTCCGTTCCCCGGCGGGGCAAAAGGACAGGTTGCCGCTGCACCCCTTCACTCCAATCAGAATGCCTCCGCCTGTGCCTTGAAAAGGATCTGTCGCAATTTCAAGAAGAACACAAGCACGTCGGAGCTCATGGGACATGATAATTTTGGGGATACCACTGATACCGTGCTTCCGGACATCAGGATGTTGACACCCCTGTCACACTCACCATGCTGATGGAAAGCTCCTTATAGCACGGGCCCCCCCAACACCATAACGTAAGCTTCTGCAGCAGTATCTCTACAAAGAGGTAGGTCTAATGGTTGATGTTTATGTGGCTCTATCTGGTCTCTAAGAGAAGCACTGCAGTGATGCCTTGGCGCTGCAGCCCTGCGTGTGGGCCGCTGCGGCATCGCGAGGAGTGTGGTGTCATCACCTCAGTCTTCTGCTTTTTTTCAATACTTCGCAGAGTGTGTCCACGGCTGTTTAAGTTAGGATGTTAGGCGTAGGCTGAGGCTATGGAACCGAATCGGCTGCGTTAAGAATCTTCCACCCATCGACGGTACTGTCCTCTCCACAGCTTGGCTCTACTTGCTGGGTTTCGACTCCAACTCCATCGTCTAAGCCAGGCCCTTGGGGGAATTAGTCTTCATGGACAGGATCCTGAATTTCGCACACTCCTCAACAAGCCCCACACCCCGTGGCCAAGGCCTCACACACCGACCGAGGCCCATGCTGTCCTCCTCCTCATCTTGCTGGTAGTGAAGATCCTTGCATGGCCGAGATTTCGCAAGGTTTGTGCGACTGCTTTGTTGAATGAACATTCCCTTAAGCAACCTAGGGCCACTATAGTCTCAGACGAGGGCAGATAGCGGGCCGTCCACAGCCAATCTACTCCACAACCAAGTTGAAACCATCCACGCAACACTCATATAAGAAGCAGACTTGGGACCTTGAGGCCCATCATGCGCGCTGGCATAGACGTTTAAAGGCTCTAAGACCTGAAACACCTATAAGTCCGACAACCCTGAACGCAAAGGTCGAACTGGGCCAGGTGGCTGCAGGCTTGCAGCTGGCAAGCTCCGGGTCCGCCTTGCTCGCGAGGCTTCTGGAAGTTTCGGGTGGAGGGCGAAGCTTGCCGATAATATTGTGCAGTTGAATGACAGGCAGTAAAACCCCGCGTGGCTGCGTTTACCCGCTCCAGCGGTCTATGGTTTGTCCCAGCTTGCTTCCCTCATGCGTTGGCAGGGCGGGAGGTGGCAGACACACTTTGCTCCGTCAGTTGCAGCATGCCCCTTGCCTTAATTGGCGAAGAGATTCGCTGTGCTCAAAACCCTTGTAGTACACTCGAACTACTTAAGTTCGAAGCTTCTCTTCCGCCTGCCATCACTGGCATAAAAAAAACCCGCAACCCCAGCTTCGGAAAAATGCACCAAGCACCGGACTGCGTCGGTGCAGCTCCCCTCCGCGATGCTCCAAGACAGGAGCCTGTGTTTGAGTATTTTCATACTCACAATGTTGACGAGTATGAGAAACGTGGATCTGAGGACTACATTGCGATGCTTCCGACGCTCTGAACCAGGGCTAGTCAATGTATCGGCGTCAAACAGCCTCAGCCCCCGGCAGGGGGAGCAGTTGTGAGATCAGCAAACCGCTTCTCATAGCACCTCGTTTGGTACTGGCAGCGCCTGCTCGTGCTTTTGTCCGAGCTCTGCCATCGCTTCCAGCTTGTTCAGACTACTCTGCAGGCTCTCGGGTTCCTTGTGGGTGACGTTTAGACTGTGCTCTGAGCTACGCACGAAAATCACCGGCGGCTGCTGCTGAGCGTGTTTGTCCCAGGTCCACGTCTCCGTTTTCAAATTGCTGCTGAGGCTCTTCTTCGCGTCACGAGAAGGCTGTCTATCTCACCTGACCATATGTCGACGCCTTAGCGTGCAAACTCCGTGGCGAAGTAAGCATCTCCACAGTGCTGGCCCCAAGCTAAGAGGTTTTGCAGCAGAAATTCTCCCGGGTGAGGAGTAAATGATCAGCACTAGCCGTGCTTTCGTCTCACGCCCGCTTCGAGATTGAGTGTGCTGTACTGTGTGCTACACAAAGGCAACAGACAAGCAGCATCAGAATGGACACTTCAATTCCTACACTGGCAGCATGCAGCTGAGGGGCACTTCCTAAAGTGTGGTTCGGTAGCGTAAGCGTTAGTGCCGGGGACACAGCCCCACGGCAGCTCGGGCCGAAATTGGACAGGCGGAGGCATGATCAGGTCTACCAAGCCACAGCCGCGAGAATTCCGGCAACACACTTTGAACTTGGGGGGGGAAAGGGAGTGCCCCGCAAAGGCAGCGCCTCGCTGATGGCGGCCAGAGACAGCTTCTGCTGGAAGCCCAGCTGCAGTCGAACCTGCCCAAGGCTCAAAATGCAATCATCTTGCTGCACTTGGGGGGTTTGTTGAACCCTAAGCCCCGAAACAAAACCAAACCAACTTCTTGCAAAGGAGGCCCGTCAGGTCCTCGGACAGCTTAGAGCACACAAGGCTCATCATAATATCGGAGTGGCTCAAGAACAGCTTGAAGCTCGCTCTTGCCTTCAAGCTTCCAGCGTGTTGGACTCTTACTTAAGGACTTCAGGGTTGACACCTGGCGCACCTAATGACCTAATGTGTGTGTGTGTGTTATTACAAATAAGAATCATTGCAAATTACTGCCCTTACAGGAACATGAATCTGCTGACAACACAGCTACCGGATATCTAAGAACAACACAGAGAATGCACCATGCTGACTGTAACGATGCCTCGTTGCGCGCGTAGGGAACCTGACGGACAGTGCGGGCCAAGTTAGATTAGATTGTTCTATCCATCGCTGCTTCTGCTGCCATTCGACCATCCACCACTGGTACGACTGCTGCTTCAGCTGCGACTGCTCATGCTACATTGACAAAAATGCTACCACTGCCGATACTGGTATTATTGATGTTACGTCCTACTACTCCTTCTCTTCCTGGCAGTCCTGCCGATGCTGCATCGCCGACGGCGACTTTGACGTGGCAACTCTTTGAGATTCCTCGCTGAGTGCCTTTTGCCGTGTTCTGCTCGCTAGTCGCGTCAACTGCGCTTTGCAGTCCATGCCCCTTTGCTGAACTGGCTTCAAACATTGCGGTTGGCTTGGATGCAGTTACTGTGCTGTTGTTGTCGTTCTCAGTGCCGTCGTTGTGCTTCTTGCTGCTGTTGCTGCTCGACCTTGGACTTGGTGCTCCTGCTCTGCTCTTGTGACTTCTTCTCCGTAGTGCTTACACAAGACGCCGGCCGGGGTTCCATGCCCTCGCGTTGGAAGTCTCGCTGTTACAGTAGTGGTCTGAGTCTGTCTGACATCGATGCAGAAAGGAGTCCATGTAGCTGGTATGTCGTTATGCACTCTTGCAGTTCCCTGAAGCAGCACATCTGCGAACTGTCGATGTTCTTTCGACCATCCTCGTCTTCAGCCGATCTTCAAATTCTCTACCCTAGCAGATGACTGCATAACGAGGTGCATAATGCAGTTGCTGCTGAGGACGGGGCTGAGACGCTTGGCTGCAGCGAAAGCGCTTGCATCCCAACGGCCGTCAGGCTGTAGGAAGGGATCTCAGCACAAACAAGGGCCGCCCCAGAAGAGACTCTTGGAGCTAGCTTGAGGCTTAAGAACAGTACAGTTCCTGTTTAAACGTAGCACATTCGGCAGGAGCTAGTATCATGTCTGAGTTCTACCATTCACTCCCGAGGCTGGCAAAAGCTCGGCAACATCTTGTAATCTTGTAACAGTGCAATGTGGATTCGCCAACCAGTCCTGGTGACGTGCAGCAATAAGCCGGTCCACAAGCCAAGACCAGCCGCTGTATCTCTTCATGTTCCGGCATGGTGGGCTTTTTTTCAGCCCATCAAAGACCTGAAAAAACTCCCGGTGTCGAGAAGCCGGCGTCCTACAGCTCGAGGAGAGGGCCTCCATGTTTGCTTCCAGCACATCGCGGCGGTCGTCGCGCAAGAGAACACCCCAGCCTCGACTCCACTAAGCTGAGCTTCTGATTTACCATGGAGGGTATCAGGCTTGAGGACGCTGATGGCGATGATGATGATGACGACATTGTTTTGTTGCTGCTGATGATCGTATGAACATGGTCTTTTGGTGGTAGTGCTGGTGATGAAAAAGGAGATAGTGATGATCAGTGAAAAGAACATTCGCATGACTTCGCATTGACAGGCTGGCGATGCCAAGAACCGAAGGCTTGGGGTCAATTGCACATGTCGTAAATAATTTTGTTGCAATTGATGTGATCTTTCTTCTGGCCCTGTGCGTTTGGCCAATGCATGAGACCACCATGAGACCGCTTGAAATCTCGCAACGTCAGCGTTTGAAAGCCACCTCGTTGCACTTTCCGGCAAGCAAGCAGAGGGCCAAGCGGGTGGAGACAACTCCCTCCAGTGTTCTCGCGTTCCTGGACGTGGCATCTTCCAGCTGAGATTTGCATGTTACTGCCGACTTGCCCCCTGGCCTGAACCAGATTACAAGACAAATCTCAGAGCTCCTGCCAAAAATAGACAGTTCGTACTCGTTGTTCGGGAGAAGGAAGTGGCCCTGCATGCAGCAGAGCCCTAGCACTGGAAGCTCCTGTCGTCACGACTGCATGCCTACAACCATTGCCATAACGAGTCATAACCATCATCCACAAACACATCAACATCGCGAACAAGAGCACCAGGGCAGAGCTCGCCATGCTCAGCAACGGCAACATGGATGGCGATCGTCTTCACCAATCCCCGCCTCAGCGATGCGGAACATGACGACGTCGTGATCGTCGGTGTACTCCAGTCCCGAGGTCGCATGCAGAGCTTCGCAGGTTCCTCCGAAGTGCGAGGCCATGTGA